AGGAATAAAAATGGGCACAAGGGCCAGGTGCAGTGGCTCACGCCTATAATCCCAGCACTTTGGGATGCTGAGGAGGGAGGATCATTTGAGGCCAAGGGTTTGAGACCAGTCTGGGCAACATAGCAAGATCCCATCTCTACACAAAAATGTATGTCGGGCTTTGGGGTGGCACCTGCCTGTTGTCCCAGCTACTCAGGAGACTGAGGCAGGAGGATCACTTGTGCCCAGGAGTTTGAGCCTGCAGTGAGCTATGATCGAGCCACTGCACTCCAGCCTGGCCGACAGAGTGACACTTTGACTCTAATAAAATAAAAAGGATACATGAAGTCTTCTTAAATAAACACAATTTGTTTCAGAGACAGTTTGTCATAAGATGGAGCTTCTGAGGGGAAACATTATTTTTAGGGGATCTTTGAAGGTCAATGCCAAGACTTCAGGCCTGCTGCTTGCTCTGAATCCAAAGAGCCCCAGATGGAGTCCCAGGGACAAAGGGGACCTGTGAGCTGGGTTTCCTGCTTGTGTGTTTTCCTTGGTACTCTATAAAAAATACTGGCTTCATGTTCAAATCTGGACCCTATATGTTATTCATCATTCTTTGTTCTTTGGTGATAAATTAAAGTTTGATGGAACCTCCTCACCCCCTTTTCCATCAGTCACTCCTGCCACCAGAGCCACTCCTCAATTCAGCACACTATGCATTAAGCTGGCATCGTGCACCGACCACTGATTACACTCAGGCCAAACACAGGGGGCCAACGGGGCAGGCAGAGACAGAAGGTCCTGACCTCCTATGCCTGTGCAGAAAGGAACATCGTGTCCCATACAGATGAAAAGAAGAACTAATTTTTACTAATAATAACTGACATTTCACCACAGTTTCGTTTATTTGCATATATTATGTATTTTAATATAGGTTATAAATATATACTATCAGTTATATTTACTTTCATGTATGTTGTCACATACACAGTGTTGGGCACACAGTAAGCATTCAATAAATGCACATGAGTCAAGATGGTAAAGCAGGCCGGTGCGGTGGCTTATGCCTGTAATCCCAGCACTTCAGGAGGCTGAAGTGGGCAGATCACCTGAGGTCAGGAGTTCGAGACAAGCCTGGTCAGCATGCTGAAACCCTGTCTCTACTAAAAATACAAAAATTAGCCAGGCACAGTAGCACACGCCTGTAATCCCAACTACTCAGGAAGCTGAGGCACAGGAATTGCTTGAACCTGGAAGCAGAGTTCTGCAGTGAGCTGAAATTGTGCCACTGCACTCTAGTCTGGGCGACAGAGCAAGACGGCTGTCTCAAAAAAAAAAAAAAAAGATGGTAAAAGCAAAATACTAAAATCAGCCCAGTGCACACCTGCAATGGCAGATAATGAAGAAGCTGACACGAGAGTGAAGAAGATTCAGACTAAACCACAGAGAGGCTTGGGAAGATTTTCTTATCTGATAGAAAGAGGGAAAATACATTGGTCCAATCACTATTATTTCCATATCATTTGGTCTCCATGGATACCACCTAACTTTCCTTCTGAAAGGAAGAAATTCACTGACAATATCAGGTTTCACTGTTAAATATTTTTTGATACTTTACATAAAACAGTTATTCCATGTTTAATCTTTTATCATTATTTATGTACGCTCAGAAGTAAAATCCCTCCTTGCTGGAAATTCCATGAGAAAGACAGTGTCTAATCCAGTCATGATTATCTGGCCCTTTTACATTAAGAATAATCTGATAGAATTTTGAAAGTTAATGCCTTACACATTTGTAGACTGCCATAATTTATGCAATGTTCTTTCCTATACAGTATCTCAATTGTTCATGAAAGCAACACTATGAGACATAGTTAAGAATTATTATTACCCTCCTTACAGGTAACCCCAAAAGGTAATAACTGTATGTATTTTTTGTTGTTAATGATCAGCTCACTAACCAGAACATAACCTAGCGTAAAGATACTGTCTTTCTCGCTGTCAGTTGAGTACACAGAGGCTAGCACTGTGTCTGGCTTTTAATAGATGTGCTAAGGATATTTATTGAGTGTCTACCTAAATTATCTCGTCTGCGTTAAGCCCTTTTTGGTATAAGGTAGATAAGGGAACTATAACCCAGATACCCAATTTAGATAGAGTACAGTGGTTTTTCACTATCAAAAGCATATTATGTGAAAATGCTCTAAAAACAACAGAGTTTTGTACGAGATGAGGTTAAGAATAAAAACATAACATCGTTGGTAACATGAGAAAATTGATGCACATCAAATGTGGAGTATCCAAAGTTTCTATTTTTCCAGTAAGTTCAAACATCTTTCGCTCTGGTGCGCTATTTGCCTAATAAAGTGTTTCAGAAAGTGGGATAAAGGTGGGACCATTGTTCATAGGGCTGTCAGAACTTCATGGCACACATGTGTTTGCCATAATTTGCTTCCAGTTTGACTACAAATCCTTGCTTTTGATTATGATGACATTTTTACAGGTAAGTAAATCTGAAATAACTGGAACTTTCTCTAACAAAAAAATGACAACTCACTGAGAATGAAATATGTAAATGTTTAATTTTAACAAGCAGTTACAAATCGTAACAGACAAGAACTCTTGGATCTAAGAGACCAAAATGTAATTTCTTACACAACAAAGTTACAAGTTATAATCGTTCACTAATTACGTGAAATTCCGGACTTTGACACATCAATCAATAGATGTTCCAACGTTCCCCCTAGAGATCCCAGTTCAAGTCTTAAATATTTCATCTGCTGAAGTTTCCTCAGAAAAGGCTCCTTTTCCCAGGGTTTTTTAGGTTTCTATTTTTGCCCCTTCTCTCCCTAAAAGAAGAATAAAGGAAAGTTGGGGAAATCAGAGAATCCTGAATCTTCGTGCGCGGTGAAGTTAAACAGTCACCCTCTGGGCCTGGTGGGGATAACTGCATCTGCCTGGCATCAAGGTTATCCACCGCCTGGTCTAACCCCCGACCCCCTTGTGCACCTGCCCTTAAGCACCAAAAACTGAACTGCTCGAAGAGAACCTACAGTAGATAGGAAAACTAGTAACTGACTGCAGGCTTGACAGCAGTCTCGGTGATTCCTGAAAATCCACAACAGGAAATCTAACGATCCTCCATCCCTCCTGGCTATTCATCAAAAGCAGACGAGTCACAGCCATAGGGAGGCCGGTGGCTGAAGACGAAATGCCAGCACCACTTTTCCTCATTTAGAACTGAGTTTTCTCCTTCCATAACCAAGGACAAGGAGCAACCGGAGGGAGGTGGTTGAAGAGGGAGGGGGCGGGTAATATGTCCCCAAGTTTCAGACAGTAGCGGGTTAGAAACGAGCGAAAGCCACCTCGCTCTTCTGAGCTACCTCGGCTGCCAGTCCCCGGGATCACATCCGCAGCCGATCGCCAAGGGTCCGGCCTACACAGACTGACCCGGGCGTTTCACCTGGTGCCCGACCACGGCCCTGGCGCCCGGCCCAGGCTGCCAGCCTCCTTCCCCTCCCCCGCTTCTTAGGGAACAAGGAGGAGACGGTGGCAAACGCACCCAGACCGGGGGCCAAGGGGAGACGCCGGCGCGTGCTGGGAGGGGCATGAGTTACACCCGCGACCCTTGGAACTTGGAACGGCTTCCCCAGCCCTGGAGGGCGCTGGCCCCCAGACGGTGCCACTGGGAGCAGGCGGGCGCCGCGATTGGCCGCCGCCGGCTTCACTCGGTGGGCGAGCCCTACCGGCGAGGCGGAAAGGAAGTGGCGGCCGCCGCGGCTTTGCACCAACCATGTTCGGCCAGCGGGCGAATGTCACCCGGCGCCCGGAGCCGGGTCGGAGGGCACGGGGCGGGCACTCGCGTCCCCACCCCGCCGCGCCCCGGGACCCCGAGGGGACGCCGGCCCCCACGGCGCCGCTCGGTCCCCGGAGGCTCCCCGCCCCCACCTCGCCCGCTCCGTAGCCGAGGCGGGTCAGGCCCAGCGCGCGAGGCCGGCCGGGGGCGCCTGCGGGGACCCGGGGGCGCACGGCGCTAGGCCGCGGCCCGGGCGGCTGACCCCTCGGCGAGGTGCCCTCCCGGGACGCGCCGCCCGAGCCCCTCGCGCGCCGGGACAAGTGCAATGACAAAGCCCCAGGGCCCGACCGGGCGCTGGCCGGCGGGAAGGAGGACGCGGCGTCCCTTCCGAGCGGCGGCGGCGGCGGCCCAGCCCCCAGGAAGCAGGGCGCGTCGGCCAGGCCCGGCGCCCGGCCCGGCTCGGAGCCCGCCCTCCCGCCCGGGCCGCTGGCACCCGACGCCTGCGACCCGACTCCGAGCCCGGCAGGCAGGCGAGCCCCGGGACCGCCGCGGGGCGCCCCAGCAAGTTTCCTCTGGCCGTGGCTGGAGGCGCTCCTCCCGGCCAGGGCGCGGGCGCGGGCAGCCGGGCGGGCGGCGGTGCCTGCTTATTTACGCTGGAGGCAGCCTGGAGAGACGCCGCCGCGGGCACCGAGAAGGACCCGCTCCCCTCCTTCGGATCCGCTGACGGCGGTGGCTGCACACACACGCGCGCACACACAAACACGCACATACACACAATTTTGTTTTAAATGAGGCCCGACTCCAGCGGACCTGCACCCCCACACACAACACCTGGGGCGCAGAAGCACACACAGCAGGTCTGTGTCCATGGAGCCACCTCTCCGCATCTGCAAATCCAAAAGTGAAATTAAACCTCCACCAACCTCCTCCTCCTCCTCCTCCTCCTCCCTCTCTACCTCCTCCTCCTCCTCGCAGCCTCAGCAGCCCCAGTAGCAGCAGCAACAGCAGCAGAACCTGCTTCCCCTAAAATCAGACGATCCATAATTGCGCCGACTGTTCCTCCAAAAATCGGTATTAATATTTATGAACCCCGGCATTTTCCGTCTGCAAAACATCGTGTCAAGGCATCAGGACACGCATACACACACGGCCCCCCACAGTCCCCAGAAACATGCCCTCGAGAGAAACACACGCACAGTCACAACTATTATTTGAAAAATGTTACCTCTCAGTGTGCTTTTTTCACGCTACCAATACAATTCCGCAAGGTATAAGTGTTGCTAGGGTGTGTGAAATGGAAATGAAAGCCCGTCAGTTGAATAATCGCAGGAGCAAAACTAAAAGTTACTCCCCGGCTTGCCTGAGAACAGTCCAGATCGAAAGCAAAACAAGGAGAGGAAACTGCGAAGAGCCGCGGCTGGAAATCCCCCCACCCCCCGCCCTCCTCCGGCCGCGCTCCCTCCCTCGCCTCCCCTCTCCGCCCTCCTCCCTCCGCCCTTCCTCCCCAGTGTTTGTTTCAAGCTTGTGCAACCAGGAGGTGGAGGCGGAGGGAGGGCGCGAGCGGCCCGGCCGGGAGGTGCGGAAGTTCGCCGCCGCAGCTCATTGGCGGGCAGCGCCGCTTTCATCATTTCTCGGAAAAGTCAATTTCATTTTCGCTTCCCCAGGTCGCGGCGGCGGGAGCAACAAGCAGCGGCTCGTGAGTCGGTGGCTCGCACCCAGGGGCGCCCGCACGCGCCGCTAGAGCGCCCGAGTCGCGGTCCGGGGTGGGGGGCGCAGGCCCGCGGCGGTAGGGGAGGAGGGCGGGCACCCGACTGCCCATCCTCAGGGTGGCCTGAAGGTTCCAAGAGGTCGTCCGGCAAAAGCACGGGGCTCCGACCATCCGGTTAGCAGGGCTGGTGTGACTGCTTAGAGCGAATGAAAATTCGTTTTGTGACGCTGACCACTTCCAAGGAATGAAAGGAGCAGTCAACCGAAACGACAGCATTGCTTGCGTCCTTACCTAATTGGAACCTTATCCGTGGTTGAGGGTGCCACCGTTGGAGGGGCCGCCCCGCCCTCTGACACCACCTGGCACTCCGCTCCACTTAGTAGCTAGAACGAAAAGGAGGCCCATCCCCCAGTAAGTCACAGCCCACGCCAAGATGAGTTATGGAGCCTGTGCGACCGAAGTTTCTTCATTGCAGGGCGAGGTGGACAAGGGTGTGAGTTACTTTGACTTCAAGACGTCTTGGTGGCGGCTGGTTCTGAGAGAGGCTTTATACTGGAGCACTTCCAGCAAAATTCGGCTTGGGCCTCCTTAACTCACCGGCTGGGCACCCTTGGCCTTGGTTTTCAACCAAAGCCTAAGGCCTCAGTTTTCAAGGGTGTAAATGGAAATAAATGAGAGAAGAAGGTACAGCCCGCGTGACAGGTGCAGCAAGCAATGCAACTTCCTTGGGACCTACCCTTTGTGGTTCCTTGCTTTAAAAAAAGTGTAGATTCACATTTAGTTAGATCTGTTTCTTCCTCGCATGCAGTTTCATCAGTCTTTTCCCAGACTTCTGTATTCAACAGGGAAAGTTCCTTCCTGGGAGACCATAGCTGTTTGTATGTAAACAGTTGCCTTAAAAAAAAAAGAGAGAGAGAAAAACTCCAACACCTCTCTGTCACAAAAGTATTGAATTATATAGACTGGAAAAATGGAAGTATCCAAGTAAACGTGTGTGGTAAGGAAATAGCTAAGGGTTCAGGATTCTGTTTTGTGACTCTGGTCTCAGAAATAGACCTCACATACACATTATTCCTTATCCCCTCTATTGCAATATTCACTTTTTTTTTTTTTTTTTTTTTTTTTAAGAGACAGGGTAGGCTGGGCGTGGTGGCTCATGCCTGTAATCCCAACACTTTGGGAGGCCGAGGCAGGAGGATCACCTGAGGTCGGGAGTTCGAAACCAGCCTGACCAACATGGAGAAACTCTATCTCTACTAAAAATACAAGATTAGCCAGACATGGTGGTGCATGCCTGTAATCCTAGCTACTCGGGGAGGCTGAGGCAGGAGAATTGCTTGAACCCAGGAGGCGGAGGTTGTGGTGAGCCGAGATGGTGCCATTGTACTCCAGCCTGGGCAATAAAAGGGAAACTCTGTCTCAAAAACAAATAAAACAAGAAAAGAGAGAGAGAGGGTCTTGCTCTGTCACCCAGGCTGTGCTATATCATAGCTTACTGTAACCTTGAACTCCTGGCCTCAAGCGATCCTCCTGCCTCAACCTCCCAAGTAGCTGGGACTGCAGGCCTGCAACAGCACCTGGCCCAGCCACTGACTGTCTTATGTCATATAGCAATGATCACTAAGGTAAAGTCTATACAAACTGTAGAATAGTTGTCATTCTTTACCCAACCTGGGGACACAAGTTAAAAACCTAGTATTTTTTTTTTTTTTTCTGTACCAAAACAATCATCTTCCTTTATTTTCCCTGGAGCGGGAAGAGGAGAGTGGAGAGGAAGGGAGGAATGCAAGGTGTCACTTTGAACTTCTCGTTCACCACACACGTGGGATTCCACTCTCATGTCATCAGCCTCCATGCACAGGCCCCAGGTGAAAAGAGACAGGGTAGGCTGGGCGTGGTGGCTCATGCCTGTAATCCCAACACTTTGGGAGGCCGAGGCAGGAGGATCACCTGATTTTCCCTGGAGCGGGAAGAGGAGAGTCGAGAGGAAGGGAGGAATGCAAGGTGTCACTTTGAACGTCTCGTTCACCACACACGTGGGATTCCACTCTCATGTCATCAGCCTCCATGCACAGGCCCCAGGTGAAAGAAACAGAGTTCTAGTTGGACCAGCTAACACTGCCTGCCTTGTGTTTATAAAAGGCACCTGCCTCTGTGGTGTGATTTCAGGGGAGCCAGACGGAGCTGGGGCCATGAACCTGTATCCTGCATCCTAACCACTTATCCATGCATGAGGCTAACTGGAAACTCACTTGCTGGGTACAGATAGCTTCTGTGATGCTCATGCTTGACTTCCAAAGGAACATGTTTCAGGAAAGGCAATTGCCTTCATTATGGTCTTTGATAAGCAGGAAGAAGTTTGTTGTTCCTTTTTTTTCTTAATGTCCTACTTTGTGCAACATACATCCAATCAGTCATATCCTATTGACACTACCCCTAAATATCTGTGGGCCTGGCCTATGCCCAGGGCACTGCCTTCATTCAGTTATTGCACTTGCCTGCTGCCTGTGCTCCTGGTCTCCTGTTTGGACTCCCTCAGGTCAGCAGCCACACTACTGCCAAAATTCAGTAGAAAATTAACTTCAGGTAAAGCACAATTCCAAACCTAACACTGCCCCCTCAAAAGCCTCTCTGTAACCTTCAGAATAAAGGCCATATTATTTGACAAGACACATAAAGTCCATTGTAATCTGGCACCAAACGACCTTTCCAGCCTCATCTCCTGCCACTGTGCCCCACAAGCCCTGCATCCCTCCGTTGCCAAACCAGCCTCCCTTCCTTTTTGTCAAACAACAGAGCTGTCCTCTTGTTCATTGTTTTATCCTTAGCATGGTGCCCGGCACACAGGCACCGAAATACTTGTGAATTAATCAGTACTTGCTCTTTTCATCATGCTCTCGTAAAATATTTCAGACTTGATCAGAGCCTTGTATTATATTTTAATAGCTTTTTAATATAAATGTAACAAATTTTTTTTGAACAGAATTTGGAAGATGCAAGAATGGTGAAAGAAGAACATAAGCCACCTGACATCTCACTAGTCAGGAATAGACCTGTGGATATTTTTATGTATTTCCTTCTAGTGATCTTTCTAAGGGACCATTTCCAGTCCTTATCTCTGTCTCTGTGTAGGATTTAAGAATGCTGACTGTGCAGCCTGCTCTCCGCGATGCCCATGTGACAGCCTGCTGTCCTATTCTAGTTCTTGGCCGGCTCCTCGTCTGCTGCCAGCCCCCTAAATTATGGTGTTTCCAGGCATTCTATCCTCAACCCTCTTATTTTCTCATTCTACATGCTTTATCTTTGGGTGCTCTCCTCCACGCCCGGGGCTTCAGATATCACTATTTGCTGATGACTCCAAAATCTGTAACTTCTGAGCTCTGGACACATTAACTCCTACACATGCCTCAGGTGCAACAAATTATATATGTCCCAAATCAGAGAGAACATCTTTTCCACAACCTTGCACTGTTCACTTCATTGATTAGCTGGGAAACTGGAGGACTCACAGACTGCCCCTTTCCCTTAGTCCCGGGGCCTCCCTGAAGCATGGGTGTTGCTTGCAATTTTCCAGGCCCGTAAACTCATAAAACATAAGATAGAATGAATTTCTGTTCTTAGGCCCTTGATGACATGTCACTGCAAACCAAATATGTACCAATGAACCAAAACAGCCGCATGGTACTGATACAGTCAAGAAGTATTTCTTAGCCCTTTGATGAGATGCATATAATAATGAATCTCTGTGGAAACTACAGCCTTTCTGGAAGCCTGCGTAAAAAAGTAGGCACGGTGGCTCATGCCTGTAATGCCAGCACTTTGGGAGGCTGAGGCGGGCAGATCACGAGGTCAGGAGATCGAGACCATCCCAGCTAACACGGTGAAACCCCGTCTCTACTAAAAATACAAAAACTTAGCCGGGCAAGGTGGCAGGCACCTATAGTCCCAGCTACTCGGGAAGCTGAGGCAGGAGAATGATGTGAACCTGGGAGGCGGAGCTTGCCGTGAGCCAGATTGTGCCACTGCACTCCAGCGACAGAGCCAGAGCAAGACTCGGTCTCAAAACAAAGAGTCACCTTTGCCATACTGAGGAAATCTGACCTAACACTTCAGTCTAATGTGAAAAAAGTTGAAGGGTCTTGTATAGTGAAACTAGAGTCATCTCCTGGGTGAAGCATGTTTATATTTCACTTGTGGGATGGAACATCCTAAAAGATCTGCCTGGCTGCCTTAGGACTCATTTGTTTTCAGGGGAGTCGGGTAAGGACAGTATTACTTGAGCACAATAGTGCCGGATCTCTCTGAGTAGATCTTAACTAAGGAAGAAATGTAAAGACACCTTCAAAGTTGACCCCTTTCAAATGGGTTTTTAATTTAGCTTCCTAAAATTGAAAGTTTCAGAAAATAATCATTCAAGTCATATTTGTTGAGCACTCAGGAACATTTCCCAGCACTAGGGATACAGCAGTGAACCAAATGAATGAAAGTCCCAGCCTTCTAAGCTGTTTGCTTACAGTCTGGTAGGTTGACATGTTGATTTCCACCGTGGCATCCGAGTAATGGCACCGACATCATCTCCACCTATAATCACAGACTTTAGAACTGTACATTCAACCTAGGAATGCGTAACATGAAGGCATATGCATGAAAACCTAAGTATTTATAACTATGATTAAATCAGGAACTTTTAGGTCTGCAAGCTGATGCTCAGTTTTCTCCCCAGGATCACTAGGACCACTTCTGTCTTGGCCACTGGGGCTCCCCTCCGAGGTGCTGCAATTCAGGGGATTAGAAAGTCATGGAAAACGAGAGTTCCACGCTTGCCAGAGCAGTTGCCAATACAAAAGCCACAGATAACAGTCCTGCCTTGCAAAGAACATTATTGTGAAGTCCAAGTTGAATAAACACCAAGTCAAGTTAAATTTTGTGCGACAGTAGAACAGTGATGGGATTGAAAGAACCATCAGTCAAAGTTCAAAGGTCATTGGCCTCAAGTCGAACCATTCTTGAGCATGTTTGACTATTACTTTATGTAATAGTTGCTTCCATTTTATAAGAAACCGGGAAGTGGGGGTCATTTTGTTGCAACTGTTTTCTGAAAATCATGAGTTTACATTGAGTAATATATTGCCCAGTTTTGGGTAATACTCATTCTGCCCTGTTCTGAAGGGAAAACACATTCTCTAAAATTGCCTGGATTTCTGTGTGTGTGTATGTGTCTGTGTGTCTGTGTGTGTCCGTGTGCGCGTGCGTGCGTGCGTTTTTCCCTCCCCAAAGGAAGGCTTTCAACTTTGAAAACTTCCTGAAGTGTTTTTTGGCATAATTTCCCAAATGGCTGTGAAATATGTGAAATATTCATTATTTCTCTCTGGTGACAAACTATAAAGTAGTCCTTTTACCTTTAAAGACAGAGGGACACAGTGTCTCTAGCTTTGCCTTGACGTCCTGCAGAGCAATTACTAGAATAGTTTCGGGTATTAAAGATAGTTTAAAGAATACATTTCAAATTTGTAACCTAAATTTAGGAGACTACTCGGTTCACTGGTCATCTGTATATTTGAAGAAATTTTTAATAGTGTTTATGTTTGTTTTCTTATTTTAAAATATTTGTCGCCTAGGCATGGTGGCTCATTCTTCTGTAATCTCAGAGCTTTGGGAGGTCAAGGCAGGAGGATCACTTGAGGACAGGATTTCAAAACCAGCCTGGGAAATATAGCGAGACGGTCTCCACACACACACACACACACACACACACACACACACACACACACACAATTAGGAGGGTGTGGTAGCGTGCACCTACAGTCCTAGCTACTTGAAAGGCTGAGGCAGGAGGCTCCCTTGAGACCAGGTGTTCAAGTCTGCAGTGAGCTGTAATCATGCCACTGAACTCCAGACTGGGTGACAGAAGGAGGCCCTGTCTATAAATCAATCAATCAATCAATCAATCAATCAATCAATATTTTAAGTAAGTAAAAATAAAGTATGTAATTGTCAAATAAAGATTGAACATATTCAAAGTAAACATAATTATCTGAGATACATATATTGTGTAACAATTACCACAAATGAATTAAAACATCCGCGAACCCCCTGCTGTGATTAGCTTCCCAGAACTTACGATATTATACATAACTAAGTTTTTTATCTTTTGGCTAACATCTCTCCATTCCACTTCCAATCCCTGGCAACCACCATTCTACTTTCTGCTTCTATGAGTTTAACATTTATAAATTCCACATATAAGTGAAACCACACAATATTTGTCTTTCTGTGTCTGGCTTATTTTACTTAGCATAATGTCTTCCAAGTTCATCCATGTTGCAGATGAGATAGGATTCCTTTCTCTTTTTTATGGTTGAATAATATTCCATCGTATATATGAACCACAATTTCTTATCTGTTCATCTATTGGTGGACACCCGGTTGTTTCCACATCTTGGCCACTGGAAATAGCGCTGCAGCGAACACAAGGGAGCAGACATCTCCGCACGATGTTGGTTTGATTGCGTTTTGATATGTACCCAGAAGTGGGATTGCTGGATTGCATGGTGGTTTCATTTGGTACTGTCATACAAATGGTAATTCCATGTTAATTTTTTGAGGAACCTCCATACTGGTTTCCATAATGGCTGCAACTGTCTATATTCCCACCAAGTGTGCAAAGGTTCCCTTTTATAGCCCTTCTAACAGGAGGGAGGTATATCTCTTTGTGATTTTGATTTGCATTTCTCTGATGATTCATGATGTTGAGCACTTTTGCATACACCTGTTGGCCATTTGTATGTCTTGTATGGAAAATGTCTATTCAGGTTCTTTGTTCATGTGCTACAGCGTTTACTATTTCTCTGTAAACCTTTGGTCTCAGCATATGAATCGTGATGATGTTCATTGTGTTCTCTTCCTTCCCAACTTCATAGCATTCTGAATAATACACCTTTATTCTATTTGAAAATGTTTGGAAATTTGACAATCAGAAAGACAGAAGAGTGTCATAAAACAAAGGATTGAGAACATTTTAAAAGTTATCACTTCCTTAAAGAACTTTATCTCTGCTAAATACCAAATGTGCATGGCAATTCACATGCACAGCTCTTGGCACAGTCTCCTTAACCTTTGATTCATCTTGGCGTCATTTACCATCCATGTTTAGTGAGCATTGGGATGCTCCAGGCACTCTGAGAGCTGCTGTGAAGACAGCAAGAGCCAGACAAGACCTCTACGCCCATGCCCCTGATGCTCTAGTGAAGGTGAAGGCAACAGACAAATAAACAAGCAAACCAACACAATAGTCACAGGTTGTCTCAGTGCTCTGAAGGAAATCAACAGGAGCTTTGGTAGAAAATACTGTGCCAACCGGATGGTCAAGAAGCTTACTCTGAGGAAATGAGATTTAAGTCAAGACGTGAAGAATGATGTGGTCCTGTATTAGTTTGCCAAGGCTGCCATAAGAAAGCCCCACAACTGAGTGGCCTAAATAACCAAAATGTATTGTCTTACAGTTATGGAGGCTGGAAGTCTGAGAACAAGGCATCCACAGAGTTGGTTCCTTCTCAAGGCTCTGGGGGAGACTTCCACACCTCCTGGCTTCCGGTGGTTTGCCAGCAAGCTTGGGCTTGCTTTGGCTTGTAAATGCATCACCCCGCTCTCTGTCTTGATGGTTATGGGGTGTTCTCCCTGCACATGTGTCTGTGTCCACATTTCCTTTTTTTATAAGGACACTTATATTGATCATATTGGATAAGGAGCCCACCCTACTCCCACAGGACCTCATTTTAACTAATTATATCTCCAAATACCCTATGTCCAAATAAGGCCATGTTCTGAGGTACTGGGAGTTAGGACTTCAGCATATGAATTTGCAGGAGGAGAACACAATTCGACCCTCCACAGATACCAACTGCACCCAGGCAGAGGAAAGAGTGGGGACAGAGGTCTGGGAAGCAAGAAGGTCTGGCAATATTCTGGAAACAGACAGGAAATGACTGACTTCAGAGTTAAGTGACAGAAAGAGGACAGGGATGTGGTGAATAGGTGGAAGAGACCAGAATAAGGGCTTTGCATTTTATTTTAAGAGCAACAGGAAGATTTTGAAGGGTTCTAAATAAGATCAACTTGTGGTTTTAAAAATTGACACTATATTTCCCAATTGTCTCTCCAACATCAATGAAATGCAAGGATTTCTTCAGTTGTGATTTTTTTTAAGTTTTTTAGAGTTGGGGTCTTTCCCTGTCACCCAGGCTGGAGTGCAATGGCACAATCACGGCTCACTGCGGCCTTGAACTCCTGAGTTCAAGCAATCCTCCTGCCTCAACCACCTGAGTAGCTGGAACCACAGGTGCGCACCACCAGGCCTTGATAATTTTTGTAGAGACAGGGTCTCATTATGTTGTCCAGGCTGGTTTCAGACTTCTGGCCTTAAATGATCCTCCTGCATCAGCCTCCCAAGATGTTGGGATTACAGGTATGAGCCACTGCACCTGACAAATCATTGATTTCTTAGAGGAATTTCCAACTGTTCTTTATTGCCCTCTCAGTCTGTTGCATGACACATTTATAACACTCTAAAATAATTCAGTCTTTTTAATTCTATTTTTGAATTCCTAACTCAAAATATTTATTCCTCTTTAACTTTCTCTCCAATTTCCATTTCCACAAATAAATAAAGTTAATGTTATTTTACGAAACACACCCACACAAATACACAACAACTTTAAAAAGAAAAAAGAAAGCTAGGCCAGGTGTGTGTGGTGGTTCGCATGTATAATCCTAGTACTTGGGAGGCCAAGGCAAGAGGATCGCTTGAGCCCAGGAGTTCGAGACCAGCCTGAGCAACACAAACAGACCCTGTCTTTACAAAAAAAAAAAAAAAATACAAAAATTAGCTGGGCATGGTGGCTCGAGCCTGTGGTCTCAGCTACTTGGGAGGCTTAGATGGGAGGATTTATTGAGCCCAGGAGTTCAAAGCTGCAGTGAGCCATGACCATGTCCCCAAAATGCCAGGGGTTCAGTCTAGGTCCCGCTGCTCACCTCACAGAAAGCTAATCACTAGACAACAATTATTGCCAAGAAAGAAGGTTTTCATGGGGTGTTGCAGCCGAGGAGATGGGGGATCAGTCTTAAATCCATCTCCCTGACCACCAAAATCAGGGGTTTATGTGGCAGGGAAGAAGCATAATGTGTAAGAAAGCAGAAAGTAGGGGGGAGCAAGGAAGCAAGCATGATGAATGAGGGCCTGGCATCCCATTGTCTGGATATGGTTATCTGGTAAGTTTCAGTTCTTAGGTACTTTTTGCCAGAACTGGAGGTCCTTTCCTGAGGAAGAAGCTCAGATAAAACAAATGTAAATTTCAAGCTTTAAGAGCAGAAGGATCAATGTATATGGTTTTCCAAGAAAAAAAAAAAAAAAACTGTCTATGGGACTATTGGGTCAGTTTCAATGGTGTCACAGTACTCTAGCCTGGGCAACAGAGCAAGATCTTGTGTCAAAAAAAAATAAGAAGAAGTATATTCAACTGTGGATTTCAGGCACACACAGTTTTCCTCATTCCATCTTGAATGAACAGTAATAATTTTCAGAG